GATGTTTGCACAGAGTTTTTTCTCAGCAGGGTAGAAAAGTTCTCTTCCGTAGGAAAACGAGTCTAGTAAACTGGACCCTTGCACAAAATAGCAATGCTTTACTCCTAGTAATGTAATCAGTACCAAAAACAAATGTTACGCGTTTACAAAGTTGTAAAGTAGATCGGCCGGTACCTCGAATGAGGTCTTTTAAAATAATACAATTTCTTCAGGATACCTTCAGTTTATTCGTGGATTAATGTACAAAATAATTTTTTTTCATGAGTGAAAATCGATCTGAATAAATAATCGAAATCTGATAAAAATAACCGTGTATTCCGTATTTACTGGGAAAGTGGTATTTTCAGTCAATCGGAAAAATAGTAAAATCAACTGCGGAAAAGGACTGAGTCACATAAAAGAAAAACGTGTGCATCCATTAAATCTTTTAAAAATCTCCTATTATGTCTTATCTTTTTTGAAATGTAGGTATTCCTAAAATTTTCCTGCAGAAATGGTTTAGAATGGGTGAGGAAATTCTCATAAAATTTTACTGAAATTTTCGGTTACTTAGCTTCAAATAAATTATGACCGACTATCATCTGCGGTGTCACAGTCAAAATAACTTATTTCTCGACTTCGGTATCAATCTATCTCCTATTTTAGTCCTAAATTTTTATTTTACAGGAGCATATTCCAAAATAAAAGACAACTAATCAGGAGCTTGCATCCTTGTTTAGATTTCTTTATGGAAAGAATTACATTATGGATATCTTTTATGCGACTTTCTAAAATTTAATTCATACAAAGATGAGAGGACCTTACATATTTAGCTCTACACAATTCAATAAATTTACACCATCTTTATACAATAAATGGCGCTAAAATGGCCCAAAAATCGACCTCCAATTATGATTTGGCAATCATGAAAAAGCAAGGGCGTGATGGAATTTTTCATTCAGCCTCGTCCCGGACTTTCCTCGATTAGATAAGAAAGTGAAACTCGATCCACAATTTTCACCGTCACACAATATTTTAGCATTCATATTTGAATCGGATTATTACGCACGGGTATATTTATTTTAGGTATACAATTCCGTGAGAAAAGCGCCCCGTGAAATTCAACAATAACCATTCTCAAATACGCATGCACGTGTAGTGCATTGAGAACGGTGCATATACTGACGCGTGATCATTCTGCCGGAAAAGTGAATACTACAAATGAACACTATCACTGAGGAAAAAATTTGAAGTTACGTAGATCTTATGTGCGATTATTTCATTACATTTTTTCTTGCATTATGACGAGGCATGATGGATAAAAAAGTGAATAGTTTTAATTACGTCTCGCGTTAAACGTTCCAAAATTCCTTATTGTGATGTTTTTTGCCTCTTTTGCAGCATTTCGACCCTCATATGGCGAAAGAGCGTTATGCTTTTTACACTGAGTCCTATTATTCTGCCGTGCTAAGGAAAAACGCCCTATGTAAATTCAAAAGTTGCCAAATTTCCTATGGTAAAATTTTAAATTTTGAAGAGAGTTATAAAATATTATCTCTTGTAATTTTCAGATGATTTAGATCTAATTGAAGATGGAATTCCCTGAAAAATTGGAGGAAAAATATTCACAGATTTCTTTGATAATTCATATTTTATCGAATGGAATTTGGCAAAGTATAAAGGCTCATACGTGGTTCTTCCTTAGCACGGCAGTATTGGTCGTATAACCCCGGCTTTCCAGGATTCATATAAAAATGGAGATACTTCCTTACACTGGAAAAAAAACACATTGGATCTATAGAGTCCAGACTCTTGAAAACATTGACAAGAAAAAATACTCTTGATTCAATGGGATTTTTGCTTGAATCAAAACGAAATCCGCCTAAATTAAGAGACTTGGTTCTTGATTTAAGCTAGATTTTGATTGAATCAAGAGTACTTTTTCTTGACGATGTTTTTAAGAGTCTGGACTCTAGATCCGATGTGTTTTTTTCTTATTCCAGTGTAGGTCAGAGGAGCGATGATTTTATTGTTTTCGGTGATACTTTAAAAACATATTTTAAGAGTCATTGTGCTATTAGGGCAGTGAAGAAACCGCTGTTAAAGTATTCTCTTCCAAACAAGCGTATTCCCTCCCTCCCCGCTCAACTTTTTTCTTGCCTATCATGTGAACTTTAACTCGGATCCTCGGACAAGAAACTCATCATTCCTGGCTGACAATGAAGAAAACACACGCCACGCCGTTTCTTTCATCCGCCTACATTTTCGCCTACTGGTGATTAAGAGCGCGAACAACTCTGTTGTTTTTATGAAAACAACAATTAGTCTACCTGCACGAGGTACGTAGGTGGTCTGAGACAGTGTATTTAGCCTTCCTCCGCGTGTTTCTGACTCAGCTCCATCGTTTGAAAAACGCAGGCTTCTGGGTCAGAGCTATAGAAGAATGCCTACTTTTTCAGTACATTCTTTCTGCGATGAGACCCCACTTAAGGCGAAGATGCTTAGAGAAAATATAGTGAATTTTATAATGCTTGGATTTGACTTGGTCGCACCGGTTTGCTCATAACGGAATCAGCACTAATGGTGATACTCATGATAGTCCTTCATCGAAAAATGGTCCTCTCAAATTTTGGTTGAAATTAGATTGTCTATAACTTCATTTCTTTTGCATTTTTCGATACATAGTCAATTCAGGGAGTAATTATCGGAAAAAAGCTAGAAAACGAGATTTTTGGCCTATTTCAAACTTCTGCGCGCTTGGGGAGCTTAAATTTAAGACATTCTGCAAAACAAGAGTTTCGTAATAATTAGTGTCGTTATAGCGAGAAAATCGTTCAAGGGACCAGGCGATTCCCTATTCGCAGAAGAGAGATTTTCGTTATAATGAGTGTCGTTGTAGCGAGAGAATACTATATATATTTTTAGTTGGGTATTTACGCAGATACCTAATCGTCTAACCACCTTCAAATTTAATGCTGATTCCTGGTTTTTTGCGGGTGCGTTTCCTCCTTGAAGCAGTGTTCAGCATGCAACTTATTATTGTTCATGCTGGATTTTCAGCAAAAATTTGAAAATCAAAGCAGGAAATTACACATTTATTTTGTTTAACAACCGCAAGTTAGAACTTTTACATTATCTTCTGCCGTTTTCCAGACAAAGGAGCGTAAGTCCATTCCGACTTGCAAAATGAACTCGAAAATTTTGATGTTTCCAAGGAGTATGACTCTGCAATATTCATCTAATATGTTGCTGATTCTTGCATGCAGTCAGAAGAAAAATCAGTGAAATGCTTGGTTAGAAACGCCCACTAGTTCACTCGTGAAAATACAATTTGTGAGTGAAAATATCTCAACGGTAACATGCAAAGCTGCGTTCTTGCGTCTGGAAAACGAAGATTACAGACGTGTAATAGCGTGTGATATCAGTCGGTAAATAATTCCGAATTATTTTAAATTTTCGTTTAGCGGCATCCTATTTGCCATCTGCATTCGAGTGATCAATATTTTATTGTATTCATACCCTTCTCACGCCCAATTCCCTCATAAGTCACAACTCCGAAAAACGGGGTTCATAGATGGATCACAGAAAAATTGCAAATCCATACACTGTTCAACATTATCATATTTTGCTAAGAAGAGAAGCTCGAGTCAATTTTGACTCCCCCTTTGAAGCAAATTAAAAAAAATTGCCTTTCATTTGACTCTATAAATTGCTCTACTGTATTCTAAAATGACGCCAACAGGATCGTATTTAGAATAGGGGAACCAGCCCGTTTACAATGTTTTTAAAATCGTTCAACTGCTGTTTCAAACTATACTAAATGTATGCATAATAGAAATACAATGTATACGACGGTTTTCCCTAAAATTAAGAATATATTTTGGTCCGAAACAAAATATATTCACTATTTTAGGCATTTCTTTAATTATGAATGAAATAAATGTATGATTTTTACAACGCTTCAATTGTGTTCTTTCCCTTCTGTCAAATACATTTCAATTGACTGAGAATTATTGGAACTGCCACTGAGTTGGAGTCTCATTTGACTCTAGCCACAAGTCAGTGGACCCTACCAATGGGCTGATTATTGAAATTAATCGACAAAAGCAAAAGACAAAGAAAGCAAGGAAAATGTAGAGCAATCCTTTTGGTTAAAACCGATTGTAGTTACCGACTAAGGGGGAAATAATGGAGTGACAGTATAGGGTTTCTCGTGTGTTGCCGTTCGTGAGTCCATCCTTTTTTGTCCATTGTTTCCACCAAAAGAATTGCTCCATTTTCTCTTTGTATCTATGTCAATCACTTTGTCTATCAAATTCAATAATCAGCCTGCTGTCCTCAAAACGGAAACAGAATATGATTAGTTCGACGTCTTCATGCTAAAAGGAACCAGAGACGGTTGGAAAAGAAGGGGCGTGCTCGTTAGTTGAGGGCCATAAGAATGAATAGGAATTAAAAAACGCCAGTGACGTCAGCGGAGACTAAGGAGACGACGATCCATGGATCTGAGTCTTTAACTCATGAGCCCTGTTCACAACGCTCTTGTCACGTGCCCACGGTTCATCAGTTAGCATATTTTGACGCTTATAGCTCCTTTTGCCTTATCACTAGAAGAAAAAAGTCGCTTGGATCTAGAGTCCAGACCCTTAAAAGAAAGAAAAAATACCTTTGATTCAATCAGATTTTTCCTTGAATCGAAGAGCCGAGCAGATATCCTAGGATAGGCGGATATCCTTTTATTTCAAGCAAAAAAAGTCGGATTGACTCAAGAGTATGTTTTTCTTGTCAATGTTTTTAAGAATCTGGACTCTAGATCAAAGCGACTTTTTTTCCAGTGCTCACTTTTCTATTCTCCCAAAAGGAATTACGCTCATTTTCCCATTGTTTCTAATGCAGCTTCCACGAGCACAGCCCATCTTTCCCACCCGTCTCTAGTTCATTTTAGCATAAATACGTCCAGTTTTAACAGCGTATACTGCACCAAACCTTAACCTACGAAAAAAAGAGGTTAGGATACTCACGATTGGAGACAAGATACGAGGAATCGTTGGAGGAACACGAGGAATCGACGACATCGATGAAGGGCGACGGGGGCGGGAGCGCCCCCAGATGAAGGGGCGGCACGAGGGGCGGCCTCAGGAGCCCGTGGAGGGCGGCCGCGTAGATGGCCGCATATTGCGGGCTGAAAAGCGGCGGGGGCAAGCACACGGGAGCGTGGTGGTGGAAAATCGGCTGCGGGGGCGCCACGGCCGGCGGTGGGCGCTGAGTGGGCGTCGAGATGATACTATCGATGGAGAAAGACTTGCTAGGGGGCGCCGGTGGCTTAGTCTCCCGTTCGGGCTCGGGTTGTTTCCCGGTTCGCAAGATTGGGAACGCTGTCTCGAGCATGTGTTTGTCGAGCTTGGGGAGCTTGAAGCGCTTCCGTCGGCGGAGGAAGGAGCCGTTCTCGAACATGTCGAGGGCGGCCGGGTGGAGGGCCCAGTAGGCGCCCTTCCCGGGGCGGTCCGGGCGCCGCGGGATCTTGACGAAGCAGTCGTTGAAGGAGAGGTTGTGCCGGAGGGAGTTCTGCCACCGCTGGGTGTTGCGCCGGTAGTACGGGAAGCGCTCCGAGATGAAGCGGTAGATGTCCGAGAGGGGCAGCATCTTCTCCGGCGAGCTCCAGATCGCCATCGCCGTGAGGGAGATGTACGAGTACGGAGGTTTCTGGTCGCCGTACGACTCGCGACAGGGCCGAGGCATCGCGGGGGGCGTCTACTTCATCACTTCGCCTTCGAATTATCGGGTATGCAACTGCGCGACACCGGAGCACTATAGTTATCTAAGAGTCTATTTTGAAAAGAAAACCGGAGACGTTTCTTCAGAGTCTAAGTTCACGTTCGACACATTTTACTTAAAACGCCTTCAATGCATCGGTTATGCACATGCACGACACAGGAGCACGAATAGTTGTATGCCGAGAAAAAAGGATCGATTTTGCATATACACAGGAGTTAGTTTGAACTTCAAACTTTGATGTTAAGGTTAATGTTCATATTCGTGACATTATAGTTAGAATCGTCACTGCCACTAGAGCTTGAACTTTTATCTTATGGAAAAGACGTACCAAATATGGACATCAACCATCGATCGAGGTGTCCAGACATGGAGGAAGAACATAATCAGCTTTTTTTTGGAGACAGTTTTTGTAGGTAACCTGCAAAGATGAGTGTTCTTAGATAGATAAAGCTCATTTTCCTCCGATCAATAGTTGTTCACTATAGAAGTATCAACGAATGCATATCGTTTTCCAACCGGTAAATCAGTTTACTCAATCAATCATTTTGATTGTTGAGACATACTTTCAGTTTTTAGGACAGTCAAATCACTTTTATACCCAGTCAACACTTAAAACAAACGAACCGAATTACCCAACATCCTGGGTTATTAGCGTAACGATTTACAAAGTTTTATTGACTAGCCGTTAACCGAGGCGTTAAACTCTGTAATTTCGGATGTATGTTTGCTTTTCGTCAAAATTCAAAATACGGGGGTTAAATGAAACACTAGATCACAAGATGAGACGCTGATAACGTTATATTTTACTGACTGATAACGATGAAATACTGCTGATTGGTTTCTAAACGGATGACCAACAGTTCCAATCGGTTTCAGAGTTAGGAGACAAAAATTTAAAAAATCGGGGTGAAATCAACACTGTGGGGAATGATATCACTTGGTATAGACGTAACGCTGATAACGTTAAATTTTGCTAACTGATATTTGCTGTTAATTTCGCTTGTTTTCGGGACGAATTCAACTACCTAGTCCAAAGTTGGATTTTTTCACTCATAACCAACGATTTCAATCGGAGAAAGTTAAAATTCGGATACCGAGGTTGGATTAAATACCTGAAGGGATGATATCACTTGGTACAAACGTGGCGCTGATAACGTTTAATTTCGCTTGTTTTCGGAACGGATTAAAAACTTTCGAAAAACGGAAGTAGTCCAAAGTACGATATTTGCACTCATATCCAACGGTTATGCCCGGAGAAAGTCAAAAATCGGAAACGGGGGCTGGATTACACACCTTAGGGGATGATATCACTTTTTACGCTGATAAGGTTTTTTCGACGGCTGAATACGGTTAACTCTTTCGTTGTCGATGAGGATGTATCCAAAGAGAACCAGAGCACGGTATTTTGGTTTATGAGCGATGAGCGTTGCTGTTTCTGGATTCTGGGGTGTCGGGGTCACGTGAGTTTGCAGATTCGGAGCGCGTTTTTTTCGCCGGGTGCACGGGTGAGTGATCGCAGCGCGGCGCGGACACTGGCATGGAGCGGCGGCGCTTTTGATGTGCCTCGGCGGCGGCCCGGGGGGCGGGGCCCGGGCTCCTAGGCGGCTCCGCATTGGACCGCCGTCGCTGCGATGGAAGCCCGGCTCCATTTTGTCCGCGCCTCCGACGACCCCCCGCGCGGCGCAGCTTTCAGCGCCTCGTTCTCCGTTGTACAGCGTCCCCGGTCGCAGTGGAGCTCGATTTATCACGAGTGCACGACGATTGTTTTTAGGTTAGGACTTTCATGCGGTTTACATAAGGGCATTTTTTTTTTTTTTTTTTTTTTTTTTTTTTTTTTTTTTTTGCATGTACCCTGCACTGCTCCGCCGTCATAGCAGACGAGTCATACCTAAACGTAAAAATGAAATTTTGAGAAAATGGGCTAACGGACATCTGAGCGGAAATGTAATTGACGGAAGCCTCCGTTCTCGGTTAAATTGCCACCAATCATCTGAGAGAATCTTAGAAATCGTTTGGATGCTTAAAAATCGACCAATTTTATTTCAATGTTATAGAAGGGGTATTCCGAATTCATTTCTATATTAGGCTAGTGATAGGCAAGGCAGTCGTAAGTGCCATCCTCTGCATCCTTTCGTCATTCGTTTTAAATTACGGCAAATATACATTTTCAGGTCAGAAATTGGCAGAGGAGGGCGCCAGGGCGGCATATTACTCGAAAGCACTGATTTCATTGGCTCTTCGGAGGAATAATTTTACTCATATTTTGAAAAGTTGCATCAATACTATACAGCTTTGAAAGCCGTATACCTAAATGATCGAGGCGTGAAAATTAAAAATAAAAAAACTGAATATCACCTATTTAGCGGCTAAAAAGTTGAATGCAAACATTGATGTGAAAGAATAAGTAACATTTTTCTTCTTAAACTGATATTTCCCTCACTCATTGGAGTTCAAAACTGACGACTTCATCGTTAAAATAAGATATTTAAGTGAACTTAAAATAAAGGCGGATCCAGACACTTCGAGCGGGGATGGTAGAAGAAGGGTTCGGGAAGCTTGCTCCAAAAAATTTTCGAAATTTTTAAAGCATCGCAATCATGCATTTTGAGTATATATATATACCGTCATAAATAATTACCAAATAAAAGCGTCCTTATTCCTTTTTCTCCTCCTTTCCTTCCTTATTTCTTCCCTCCCTTTTCCCTCCTTGGACGGCTTTGAGCAAAAAGAAACCAGGGTTCGAATTGTCAATTTTTAGTTCATGACCATGATGTTTATTTCTCTTCCGATTTTTGGAGGATTTTGTACGAACCTTGATCGAAAAAGTTAGAAAATTTCAAGGAAAAATCTTCACAACTTCCTTCAAAAATAAATCTTTTCTGAGAGGATATTTGACAACGTTCGGCTGCTCATACGTCGTTTTTACTGCAAGCACGGCAGTAAAGCTTGTAGCAACTGCTCATCTACCTTCATTCAACCAAGGGGATTTTGACTGAAAGGCTTCTGACCCGGCAATATCACAAAGTTTCATTATTTTTTCCTCTTCTTTTTTCCTATTCTTATGTTCAATTTTGGACCTCTATCATTTAAGTATGAATCAACTAACCATTTCTCTTCCTGTTTTTCGGTCTCTTTCCATTGAACCGCGCTACGGCTCCTGGTTTATCAAGTTAAAATGCAAAGATGGCACCATAATGGCGGATCCAACGGGAGGCTCTCCCGCTGTGACTCATTTTAGGCCCTACTTCAATATTTCTACTTTGATATTCAAACGTGCACGATATTCAACGATCCAATCAAAACCTCGGATTCAAATGCGTGCGGAGCAAATGGCAAAAATAATCACGTGAATTACCGAGAGTAATGGCCCACGATTGAGCCACATTTTTCTCTCCGGTCGCTCAGTGGACGAACACTTTAAAAGCATATGGAAAAAAAAGCAGCCGCGCTGTTATAATTAAAATCTGTTAGGAAACATAGGCGGATTCAGGGGGACGTAGAGGGCGCAGCTCCCCCCCTGCCCGCCCGCCGTANCCCCCCCCAAAAAAAAAACAATATGAAAATGAAAATACATAAGAAAAAAAAGAAGCGGAGGAGAGAAGAAGGAAGGACGCTCATACTCGGTACTTATTCATAAAAAATTGACTTAAATTGCAGATCAGATGTTTTAAAATTTCGAAAATTTTCTGGAAAAGTTGTTGAGCCCCCCTTACGGCGCCCCCCTCCTAAAACTCTAGTCCCTTTGAAGATTTACTAAGTTTTGCGTATTTTGGTCCAAAGTCGTCACTTAAGAAGAAATAACGATGCTACATCGAGCTGCAAGCCGAAAAAAAACTAAGAATGCAGTACATTCAATAAAAAAATGCTGCATCTACATATCTTGCTTGTAGATTCTACAAGGAGCATTCTAATGTCGCCACTAAGGGAGGACAGAATGGGTTAACGCTCCCCTCTCTCCGATGTTTTTTAAAATTAAATTTTGTCGGGGGCCAATTCTGTCAGATTTTATCAATTTAAGCGAATTTTTTAAAATTTTCTCTAATATCTATTCTCATCGCAACCTCCTTCCCCCCCCTCCCCCACGTATCGAAAAAAACCCAAATAGTATGAACCTGACTACCTAACCTTGCCTCTTTCCTCCCGACGAAAGTTCAAAGTTTAAAAAAAAATCAACACTTTAAATATAGTAATGGACGGTAAACTTTCTCCCTATCATTGCGTCCTAACAAAACTTGAAACCTTTTTTGTGAATGAAGGAGTTAATTGAAGTCAACGCATAACGTCCCAAGCGTCTTTTATGTTAATTTTAAGCCTTGTTAACTCATTATATAAGGTTTATTGATTGCTTTTCTAAGGATGAATTGATTATTTAGTGAGGAATTTTACAAAAAACTTGATCTGACCAGATCACGACACACCGTGACCACTTCAGTTTCACCATAAATGGCGAGTCGGCACCCACTGTGCGCTCCAAGCCGGCGAGGATCTCTCATTCATCAAGGGAAAGGGGAACAATAAGTTTGAATCGAAACCAACGTCTAATTTCCAGCTCTCTCTCGGAATGGCCAAGGCGCTGGCCGGCTCACGACGAATCCTCCGCAAGTTCCATATATTGAGATGTAAACCAAGGAGCTTTCCTGTGATTACCTTTAGGAAAACCATTTACAATCATTTGTCATTTCCAGTGTAATTACGTCGACGTTCCGGCGGCAAAGGCATAACCTCTCGGGATAATGAGTCACATCTCCGCGCGTCCACGCTCGGGTGATGGATGAGGGAAATAAGCCCCCGTCTCCCCGGACAGGTTTTCTTTGTCATAATCAATTAGGAAAATATACGAATCTCTCTGTGATTTCAACATCGATGCGCATGAGCCAGGAGGTATTCGATGCCTTCATTAGTTCGGTCATTCCCTGTTGTTTGGTTTCACGAATGGATGGAAGTTTGGTTTCGCAAGCGATTTCAAGCTTGCCTCTGCGAGCTGATCATATAAATTGTCGCAGGCAAATAGTGAAATCAGGCATTTTGTCAAATGCATCAGATAGTTAAATTTTGACGGTCTACAAAATTTTGTGAATTTATGGCGGAGAGCTCGCACAAGTTTTCAATATTTAAGGAAAAATAACTCATCAAACCTACGAAATTTTTTTGTCTGTTACTCTCCAATTGTTTCTCATATTTTTAAATGTTGAAATTCTAAAACTCCTGTCTTTTATGACATACTGCGTGCAAATTTCAAGATAAGTGTCTGCACAGGAGCTAAAAATCGTTTAAAATACTATCGCGTGATGAAAATTTTTACTGAGAATTTTTTCTTACCGGAGCAATTACATATTATGTCTAAAATTAGGAAAAGAATCAGAATGTCAATCTCAGTTAGAATATTTGACTACTTGCCTAGGCATTTGACATACAAGAGAAAGCACCTTCAATTAGTCGAGTTAATAGAGAAAACAAACACGAAATTTGGCCTGGAACGGCGTGACTTAGAGAGAAATGATGACGAGGACTTGAGATGAAAAGGAGAAGCCCTCGGCGCGGCGATCGGCATGTAACACATATTAGCGCCTACAAGACTGCACGGATACTTCACGCATTGCATCAAGCACAGAGCGGTCACTGCGGTCAGCATGAAACGGATAGCGCCTACAAGAATGCATGAATACTTTACGCATTGCGGCAAACACAATGCGATCAGTGCGAAACGCATAGCGCCTACAAGACTGCGTGAATACTTCACGCATTGCGCCAAACTCGGTGCGGTCTGCGTGGCGCGGCGGCGGAAGTTAAAATCATTAATCCACATTTATGTTTTTTCGTTCATAATTTTTTCGTTCATTTCTTACGAAAGGAAGGCCTTGTCCGCGCAGAGATAGGTTTCCGAAACTTAACTTTCGCGCAAAGTTCCGTGAACTTTTGCTAGTATTGTTGACAGGGCTTTCCCGAAAAATGTGTTCAACACGAGTAAACGCGTCTTATGCACCCCTCCTCCGCTGGCACGTTCATTTGATGGTTTTTATTGATGTTTCAAAACGAATGAGAAGGGGGCGAAAAAATACAGGCGGCCCATGGGCGGCAAGTAGATAAATCCGGCCCTGATTCATTCTGCGAAGTTTTTAAATATTAAGATGGTTCGCACCTACCTTATTTGCCAAAATCATACAATATTTTCTCCCGTATTTTGAATTTTTTGCGGTGGAAAAGTACTGTAATCCCGTGGAAGGAAATCCCGTTTAAGGAATACGACTATAAATATACGACCCTTGGACTCGCAACAAAATTAAAGGCTCTAATTATGGAAACTTCGATTAAAGATTTCAGAACCAGGAATGCTTAATAGCATTGCAGCGTTCCAATTTTTTTTCTCAAAATTTGTTGTAAATTATTTTTTTTTTAATTGAACGAAATTTTGCTGGAATTGGCAACTTCGAACAAGCGTATGACGCTAAAAAAGCATATAACGCTTGAATAAAGATAAAGAAAAACGAAGCCCCATTAATATGAGCATAACGAATAAGTC